GCCCTTTGTTCTCTCTTTGTCATCTTCACTGCCTCGCTCTCGCGCCTTGTCCTTGGTTGCTAAGCAGCCCCTCTAGTATATAAGAACCCCCTTAGGCGCTCCCTAGTCCCCATCTCGACCTCTTGGTCATTGGGACTAGGTGAGTGACCATAGCGTTGTACTTCCCTTCGAGTGCTAATGTATAACTTGGTCATTGGGACTAGTCTGTCGCTGTCTGCGTGAAGACTAGCTTTCGTAGGTCTCGTGCCTTCGTGCCGACCTCCGCTCTGCCCTCGTCGAGTTTTCTGTCACGTTTATCCCTCTCCCTCTCTCTTTCCCCTTTTCAGCTCCTTGCCGCTCGCCTACGGGGTCGTCGCCGAACGTCGACCCGAGTCTACGCGCCTAGTCGCCGCGACAGACCTCTCGATTTTGCACTATTTTTCACTATTCAACTACTGTGTCTATCAAGAGCTAATTTGTACTGAATAGGTGTAATTCGCAAAGGTGGTTTTTACAGATGAAGTGAGCACACCAAAGGCGCGACGAAACAATATGCACAATGTGACGTACCCCTCCCAGTGATGTTGTGAGCCATAGACGGGGTGACTTGAGATCATAAACACCACGCGCGAGCTGGCATTGGATGGCGGTGACAGGGATCAATGGTGGGAGACCTGTCGGATCGCCGCTCGGCGTATGTTCACGGTACTTCCAACACCGCACGTCGAGTTCCGGACTCATTTGAAAGTCCCAAAGATCAGTCTAATCTCTGGGCATGTAACAGATAACAAAAAACGTACTAATCTCGCCAAGGGTTGTTTGCGACTTGGTTGATGTCTTGAGGGATGAGCCACATCACCTCAGCAAATACAGCTGGCAAGGAGTGGCCCGGTTGCTGATGGAGTAGTAGGCGCACCACGTCACCTGCCAAGTAAGGGTGTTGTGGCAGCGACACCTTCACTATACCTGACAACGTCCTCGGAGTGATGCGCCGTCCACTGAGAATTATGTAGCTAAGTGTGTACGCCGTGGGGTCAAGAAATGTTGCCCCAGAGGGGGCATTGCAATCATAAGCATGGAATAAAGGGGGTCCAGGAGCGCCAGCTCGATTTTGCGTGTACCATCTGAGAATCGCATCACAGAGTGCCGTGTTGACTTGGACGGCTCGGGCTGAGCGCATGCCAAGCCCGATTGCCGTGACACAAGAAACTACGAGCAGCTGTGATAGGTGTCAAGCAGTAGAGGGAATGGAAAATACCGTCATGTTGAACCGCGGTTTCACGACCTTGCCCAGCCCCTATGGCCTTGACCGTGCCACGCGCCTCACGCGACTCATGAAGGAACCGTTGCGCTATGGAACGTGATACGTCCACTTCATGTGTACCGTCTGGCGCAAGTGTTGATACGTGCTCAACCTGTGAAATAAAAGCTTCACATTAGTAGCTCATTTGTGTGAGGAATGAAAATGTCTGTACAATGGCTCGGACTTGTATATGCCGATCGAACTCGCGCATCATGGTGACCTCTTGCTGGCCACCACGCCGGTTGTTCTGATTGGTACTCTTGAGGGTCTTGTTGAGTCGCTCTGCAAGGAAAGCCCAGATCTCATATACCGTGCCGAACTCTTCGAGTTGCCGCGGAATGTGCGTGGCGAAATGATGGTTGGGCACCATCGCCTCCAGCCCATAAATCTGTCAAAAAGTATTAGTAAGGACGTCGTATGGGAGTATCATGAAATTTGATTGAATGCGCGACGTCAGATGCCGAAGAAGAGTCCGCGTCAATAATATTTTGACGACATGAAGAAAAGCATATACGTACCCGCTTATATTCTTGGAGGTAAAAGAAGAGCAGCTGGCCGCCACGCTGGCGTTGCGAGGCCGATGTGGAGCTGCCCAAGAGAAGCTTAAGCGCCCCTCCGAGAGACAACATGAGCGGGACCTCGGCCTCCTGCATGCGCGGGGTCGGTTTGAGCGGCGGCTTTGGAGCATTTGCAAGCAGGTCTTTGATCTTCTTGTTTATTTTCGTGCGTTGTCTTGGATCGACCTCAGGTGATGCCGCCTGAGTGCGCAGGGCTTGCACGCTGGCCTCGTGCTTGTCAGCTGTATCATTGTGTTTACGCAATGCCACTTCATACTTCTTGCACGCGCCTTGATAGTCCTTCATAGCCTCGGCAAGGCACTGGTCCCATATCAATGGGAGCTAAATGTCAATATAGTCAGAGACGCAAGCACATCGACAGCAAGCGAGAACTCCACTGCAATCGGAACAGCGCGCTTCAAACGAGGGCGCGCACGCGGCAAGCGCAACTTACAATCAGCATACCCGGGCATATAATCATTAACTTGTACTCATCTGCTGTCAGAGAGCCACCAGCAGGCTCGCCCACACGGAGAGGAAGGCGACCGACCCACTCGGGGGCCTCGAACTGATGAACAAAACAATCAGTGACTCTGGGGTAATGAAAGACGACCGCTCTCACTGTATCAAGGAATCTGTGCAATACAGACAATTCTCGCTTGGTGCCTGCCTTTGTGTCGGCACGCAACGTGCCGCCCTTGATCCAGCGAGAATACCACTGATTTTTTACGACACCTGCTTATTGTTTCGTTAGCATGAACACATACATTTCACTGATCAAGCCCGACTTGCCTAGCAATAAGTTGTGCATCGGGTCTATCACTGTCATAGCCACACAGTCATAGTATGGAAGTCGCATAAGTTCAGACCACCGCGACCCATGCTGCTTGAAGTATTCGTCGCGGTCTTTCTTATCTTCAAGCGACTTCCACGCTCGCGCATGAGCCACATGAAGTTCCGCACTTCTGGGCAGACAACCTAGCAAATATTCAGTTTGCGGAGGTCAATGCAGTCGTACTTACCAGTAAAGATAGTTGAAGCAGACTGAGAGGCAAGCGAGAAGGTAGAGACGGAAAGGGAGGCGGAGGGTGAGAGTGCTAGGAAGATACTCACCTCGATTGAGACATTCGTCCGAATACATATGGTTCGCGTCGGTGATTCCCTGAGTGCATGGCGCGTTTAGATGGCTTTTGTCTGCAAAGCCAGCTGCCTTGCACATTGCGGGATGATCAGCACATGTGCAGACGAGTGCGACCCGCATGCGTCGGCCTACAAAATGTTTTCAACAGAACGTGTCTGAGGTGTAGTGCACACCTTGACGTACCCTCCTTGCGCGACTCAGTCGGGGCGAATATACCTAGGTAGAAGAGCACGAGAAGGTCATCTACGACCAGCTCGAGCCAATGCTGTAGTTCCTCTGCATCAGGCTCCTTGGGGCCATCAGTCATCGCGCTGAGGATGAGGTTTTCCACACGGTACCTAGGGCGACTGTCAGAATGTACGACGAGCAACCTCATCAATGAACCACGGACCGAAGCACTGGTGGTAGGTTGGGGATGGAGAATGATATGGCGCCTGACGAGTACGACGCACTGAAAGCGCTCGAAGACGCCGAAAACCTGTTGAAGAAGTGATTACCATCGTGTCGAGACGATGACCATGCTGAGCATTCGCGATCTCGATCACTCTGTAAACGAACTCACCAATTGACGTGCAGAATGACTGCTATGCGCAGCTCGTGTCCTCCTTGAGGCCCGAAAAAAGGCTCGCCGTCAGCTCCCTGGAGAGCCTTCCACCGACGACTATCCTGGATAGAGTGAAATATGCCAGGAGGTGGCGGAGGTTTGTAGCGCCATGCATCCAGTTCCCACTCAATGTCCGGCTGACGCAATAGGTGCACGAGAGCGGAAGAGAGGAGTCGAAAAGGCATCACTGCCTTGGGAATGGGTGTAGGGGGGGACGTCCGAGGAGTCGCAATGAGACATTCCGGGGACCTTGGCTGAACAAGGGGATTTCGCATTCAGGGCAGTTCATGTGGCGGTTGACGAGTTCAGGCTTGAAAAGACGTCGACATTGCGGGCATTCGATGAGCACGTGGAACCGGTCAGTAAGATCGAGTCTCTTGAGGGCGGTCGTAAGTGTCGTGGGCATGGGATCGGCAGTATTGATGAGCTTAAGAGCCAGGAATATTAAACGAAGTGTGGACAGGGTGAGATTGCAAGCACGGAATGTGACGTGATGGTGAGTGTGCAGGAAGACGACCAGGAGGATGACGGAGCGGATGTACCACAGATCATGGGCTGAAGCGTAGACGTCGGAAGCAGGTAGAGGAGGCGGAAACGCAGGGAGATCACACGCTCGTGCAAACATCGGGTGCATGGGCTCAGAAAGACCGGGACAAGGCCCAAGGTTGTTCCCAGTAGACATTTCCGGTGTCGCGACTTGAGTGGTGTCGTTGGCAGGGTTGGTCGTCAGTGGCAGGTCTGATGCATCTCCGTCAGCGCTGATGGAGATAGACCCGATGTTGTCTTCCTCCGGCTCGACATTTACCTGTTGTGGACATAGATCTTCCGCAAGGAGCTGTAGAGCATCCAGGTCATCTGAGTCGTCATAGAGACCAAGGGAACGAGCAGGCTGAAAGGGATCCTCGAAGGGCTGAGGGTCCGAGGTATTGAGCTGTATGCGCTCATCAGATATCATCGCCTGGAGCATTGGCGCATCGTCTCCTCCATCGAGCAGAAGATCCGCACTATGCGGAAAGTACTACACAAGTAATATCAGTCAAAAATGAAGCCACTACGACGCATATATGTACTAATGCTTACCGTTGTCAAGTCATCAACGCTAAGTCGGCTGGCCGGCTCATCGATGGGATAGTCGATATCCGCTGGCACGAGGTCATCAAATGGCGTTAACGACGACTCCAGGGCTTCATCCCTGAGGGGGGTGTTCAGGGGAGACGGGGCTCGGGCGCGCATTATTGGTATGCTGGCGGGAACGCTAGAGGTGAGAGAAACGGCGCCTGACTGCGCGGGTGGACCACCACGGCCGCCTCGTAACACGTTTGATATAGCCCCACAGCCGCCTCGTAGCATCGCGCCACGGGCGCGGGATCCTGTCACGGTTGCACGACCCCGTCCACGCTGATATGCTGGAGACTCTATCCTCCGTGCCATCCTCTCATGGTATAAGGCCGTAGTTGCTGGTATCCATTGCCCGATGGGATCGAGCTGTTTGCATGGCGGACAAGTGCATAACGCGTGGCGGCTACTAGTACTGGCCATAGTGGATCTGTGGTGGAGGGGAAGAAGGAAGATGTACGTGTCCTGCGCCGTGAAAATTGCATATGTCAGTATCCTGAAGTCTTCTCGGAGATGTAGGTGTGAGCTCACCGTCAATTATGGCCTGTGGTAATCGATCTGTTTGAGAATACTTGCAACGGGGTGACAACGCAACTGATTTGAAATGCAAACACATGTGAGTACAATAATCATTTGAAACTGTTTGGGACTTGCGACACCTTGGATTGACCAGATTGCGAGGGGGCTGTCAAGTCACAATTAGACGAATGGATCTATTCACGCGTACTCACAGGCCGCTACTAGGCCTCAAAGTCAACACTCGGATAGATGTTAGTACATTGACCATGTAAGGCTACTCACATACTGTTTAAGGCGTGACGACGCGACGCGCTTGCCACGTGCAGTACGCGTGAGGTCACAATCCATTTATGGTCATTTGTATCTATTTGTGTTCACACGCATATTACAGCCGTTTATCTGTTTGTAGCCTACAACTAACTCGTACTCGCTGGAAATCCCTAACGTATGCACACTTGAACCAGAAGGTCCTTAAACGCGGTGAATACGGCGCACGGACGGGAAGCTGAGTGACGGTAGGAGACGTCATGTCGGTCACCGATGGGGGAGTCACGGGGGTGAAGCCACCAGACGTTAAGGTCCTCGGGAACCTCCGATTTTTCGTTCCCGCTTGGAGCTCCGAACGTCTGGTCACGAGACTAGGTGTGTTCGGACATTTCTCCGCGGAGTGGTCACGAAAAGTCACATATGCCGAGAACTGCCGGTCAAGACTCCGACCCGGGTGTGCAAATTCGCGCGCACAGGCGCTCGAGCGGAGATTGACAATGAATGACTGTCTTGTGGCGCAAGGTCACGCTCAATGGCCGGTATTCTACTGCACATCTTCTGTACCTCAAATACCTTCGGAAAAATATGCATAATATACAGGTGTAGAAGTTCGAGGGCAAGCGGGCACAAATGGGATTCGCGTTTGGCCGGTGCAAACGCGTGCCGTACGTAGTACATACAATAGACCTTATATACACAGTAGAATAGGGGTAGATAAGGGCGCGGATATCCGTCGGGGGGCGGGACCTGTGGCGCTCGTTCCGCGAGCTCGCCATCTTGACGCCAGGATTCCAACACATCCCCTCGAGCGAGCGCGGGCAACGAGCGAAGGATAACAAACAAATTGAACGGGGCGGGGATAAGGGAAACAGCGAGCAAGGAAGGAGGGGTTGTGTCCGCACAAATAAGGGATAACGTACGATAAGTCTAATACATCCCCTTAATCGGGGCATTTACCACGCTTCCGTCTCCTTCTCGGCAAGAAGCCGATCGGCGCTAACGGTTGCCGAAAATGCGCAGTTGGCCTCTTCAGTCTTGAGCTCTGGGCAGTCGCGCTGATAGTGGCCCTTCTTTGAGCACTTG